ATATATATATATATATATGTATAGAGAGAGAGAGAAAGAGAAAGAGAGACACATACGAATACAACACACACTTTATCCGCTTCTGTTTCCTTCCTTTTAACCAGACAGAAAGACAGACGCTCGTTACACACACGTTTGGTTTTCGTCCCTCGTTAAAACACTGGTGCGTTCGTTCCAGCAGAAGGGAGGCGCGCTGTCATATATTTTCCTTTGTTATTATATCCTCTGTCACACAACCATAATCATCATCGTCGTCTTCGTCGTCGTCGTCGTCGTCGTCGGGACGAGAAGAATAAGAAGCGTGTGCGCGATCGGAGCCAACGCAAGAAGGCGTCGTCGTGGCAGCGTTCCTGTCGTTTCTAACGTCCCCGGCGTCGTCCCTGGCGACGGCGACGGCGACAGCGACAGCGACGGCAACGGTGGCGTCGAGGGGGCCCAGAGGCCCCTCGTCGATATCGTCGAGGAGGAAAAAGGCACCGAGCCAAGGATGGAACTCAGCGAGTTTCTATTAAGCTTTCGAAACGATACGAACTTTTGCTACTGTGCGCTTTACTCTGCGCGGGCGTTACCCTGTTGTTGTCCTCGTCGTCAACGTCGTCGTCGTCGTCGTCCTTCTTCTTCTTCTTCTTCTTCTGCTTCTACTTCTTCTTCTCGCGTCGAGGATATTACTCGTCTCAGCGCCACGAGTGGCAGGCTATCCTCCGAACGGAGAAGGTACACCCTCACGCTTCCTTTTTCAGTACTCTACTGGCTTGAGGTAGAGAAAGGTCGTCGATCGTACGCCGCGCATCTCTAAACACACGAATATCGAACCAGTGCACGCACATTTCGATCCTCCTTTCACTTTGTATTCGAGTTTACTCTTTTTTTTCTTTCTTCTTCTTTTTAAAATCGTTTCGAATACACGAATCGAGAAATCGAAACTCCGTTATAGTAGTTATCCATCTCTCTCTCTCTCTCTCTCTCTCTCTCTCTCTCTCTTTCTTTTTCTTTCTTTATTTCTTTCTATCGATAGAGAGAAAGAGAGAGAGAGTGAGTGAGAGAGAGATGCATTTAAACCGCGAGCATTTTTCAAATACTCACGCGTCTCGATACTACTCTCGTCATGTAATATAAACAATAATCGTTTCTAACTACGTCAGTAATATTCATATGTTGTTGTTCGCGAAGTCTTTGCTGAACGTTAACGAGCCACGACGAGTAGCTCCTCTCTTTACCACGATTATTTCGCGGATATTGATAATTCGCGATTTCTTTGAAATTAATGGCCAATATCTAACCAACCGGACGTTATATTATTATCCCTACGCGAGTTAATTAAACTATCAATTAGTTCGTTTGTTTTCTTTTTTTTTTCTTTTTTCCTACTTCTTCTCTTATATCAATGAAACCGTTGAAAGTGTTCCGCGTAATCGTCATTGCGGAATTATAAAATTTATCCAATGAGATTAAACGAGAATCGCGCGATTACAACTCGAGATTCACAATTCGAGACATAACTTTCTTATTTTCTAATCTGTCCGCTTAGCGCACTCTTTCGTGAATCGTAATGACGTTGTGCAAACGATGACTTCCCTTTTAAATTAATCTCGACCTTCTTTCTATGTCGGCGGAGAGACTTAACACGTGCATCACATATTTAATGCCATGGAATTTTGATCTTCGCTATACGTTCTTTGATAATGTAAACGTTAAGAAAGTTGTATTCGAATATATTTCATGGGAATCGGTATTATTTTACATACGTGTCGCGTTTATGTATGACCATAATAACATTTATTTCGAATAATATCGAAAGAAGAGGAGGGGGGTGGGGGAAATTAATTGATCATATCTGTATAATCAATCATTGATATTAAAATCATCGTTATAAATTACGATTATTATTAAACGATAGTAAATAGAAATAAATCTATATGCTTTTTGTGAAGAAATACAAATATAATTCTAAATTCCCTAAGCTCCGGATATAAATCCTTGTTAATGCTAAATTATTCGCATATTGTTATCAACGATATTATTGAAAAGAAAAAAGGATGACAGAGAGAGAGAGAGAGAGAGAGAAAACGAGAATTAAACGAACAACGTTTTTGCTACAATCTTTTCTTGCTTATTTTATATATATATATATATATATTTTATACTTATATACACGTATATATAAACTATCCAAGCAGAGCAGCAGCCAATAGTATTGATAATACAAATAGATTGGAAGATGGTATTGATTCGATAAACCTTGTGCATCGTTTCGAATAAACACTCTAAACTCGTACGAAAACTTAATCGTCTATTCAAAGTCGTGATACTCGTGTATATGTGCACGCGCGCACATATATATATTATCATTTTTACAAAATTATTATTATTTATTTAGCAACGACGTAAGACCAAGTTTGAATTTTTCAAATTAACGCGTACCGCGAACGTAAAAAACTTTCAAAAAGTTTACCTAGTAATTTTATTTTTATAAGAAATAAAAAAAAAAAAACAAATAATTTTATTCATTGCGATTTAGGGGTTTGTTTTTATATATTTGTATTCTCATCATTATTTCGACAATTCTTCTTCTTATTCAAGGATATTCTCCCAACTGTGAAACGTTGAGTGATACTTTCGACAATTTTCTAATTACTTACATTTTTATTTCTCTCTCTCTCTCTCTCCGCCTTTTTTTATTTAAAATTTTCTTTTTCCCCCTTCCAAACGAGAGAACAAAAGGTTCACGTAGAAACGAGGTCGAAGGGAACAAAGAGTATGGCCCTTTCGCCTTTTTTTTTTTGTTTTCCTTTCTTTTTCTTCTAACCTCACGAATAACCCAGAATTTTTGCTGCATTTTACCTCATTTTCGCTATCTATCTCTTATCGAAGAGGATACGAAAAAAAAAGAAAGAAAGAAAGAAAGAAAGAAGGAAGGAAGGAAGAAAAGAAAGTGAGAGAGAAGAGAAACAATGTTTTCTTGTTAAGTATTTGCAATGATGTAAGTAAGTAGGCACTTATTCGCTTACATCTATCAGTATATATATATATATATGATATCCTAGGAGAAAAGAGGATAAGGTTATCGGGAATAAAAATCGTCGTGATGTTTAACGCGTGGCCCTATTTCTCTTCCAGTATTTTTTTCGCTTCATCTCTTTTGATTATCCCGAGTATATTTTATTTTCTGAACCAATAAAAAATGCACTTATCGTATATTATTTCCTTTTCTTTTTCTTCTTCTTCTTCTTTTTTTTTTTTTTTAAGATAAGTTAGTCCAATTTTTTAAAAATAAATAAATAACGAAACAAAAATTGCACGTAACTTATTTGCCAATTTTTTTTTCAATAGTCTTATATTTTATATATATTTATTTGGTTAAATACATTTTTCTAAATGACACGTCAACAACGTAGCAAATTTATTCACCATTCTACTATTTTTTATCTTATATATATTATCTTCTGAATATATATTTTTATAATATTAGTAATCAATATTTTATTTTAATTTTTTTTGGCCTTAAATGGAGGTTAGATTTATTTATTTGTCTTTTCCTTTTTTCATTGTTTATCTTTTAGCTTATTATGTGAATATATTTAAATACATACATATATATGAATACACATATGTGCATATCAATCATCACCTATATACGCGAAAAAAGTCTAAAGACGATAGTAATATCAGAAGAAGATAATAAAATACTTTTCCATTTATTTCTTTCAACTGTATATCGGGTGATCGATTTTCTCTCTCTCTTTCTTTCTCTCTCTCTCTTTCTCTCTGTTCTTTCTCTGTCTGTTTCTTTCTCTTTCAATCCATTTCCGGTGCGCGTTACCTACTTTATTAATTCTCGCAATAGTATATAACACGATTAGCAAATAAATCGTCGATGTTGTACGATCTTCTCTACCTCTCTCTTTCTTACACCTTGATACGAGCCAATCGAAATGTTATTTAAAACCGAAGGTACCCGGAAGCAGCAGTATGCCTTCTTTAGTTGGTGAACAAACCGTGCGTGTGAGTGCAAGAATAAGGAATACATTCTATATTTTCTCTCGGTCGGTAGAATCGATCGATTTCGCGGTATAGAAACGCATACCTATATAGAATATATACCTAAAACCATGTATATAACTCGGTAGATACATTAACATTCGATAAAGAGATAAGACGAGCCGAGAGAGTTTAAATCACGGATGCATGAATGATGATGATGATGATGATGATGATGATTATGATAATGATGATGATAATGATGATGATGGTGATGATGGTGCAGGAATTTTGATTATTGATATATAGGTATCGTGCGATATGAAAGCCCACGTTTAAAAAAAAATGGATGTATTTATCTAGTAAATAGATATAAAAAGGGGACATGAATGGTGGGACTAGGGTGATTGTCGTTTCGTTCGAAATATTTCATCGTTGATTGTTATTAAACGAAATGATCAGAGACACGAGAAGGTGGAGAGAGTAAGTGTTTCGGTTCGACGTGTTGGTTTTTTTCTTTTAATATCAAAACAATTCTTCTAAGTAAAGGAAGAGGAAGAAGAAAAAGAGATCAATAAAATATAGGATAAGGCCCAAAACTGGCGTCCCAGGGTCGTCGCGAAGCGGGCTCCCGGTCCGGTTCACGTTCCGGTTCACGTTCCGGTTCACGTTCCGTATCGCATAGCTCCGGTTCGCGGCATCCCGGAAGCTTGACGAAAACTCGCCGTAGAACTAATCCACCATACGCATCATCGACAATAAATACTACAACAACAACAACAACGGCTACGAAAACGGGTCGTAGCAATGGAGGAGGGGGATCCCTCTCGAGCAGAGGAAGTGCAAATGGAACACAGTGTGGCCTTTGCGCGGTGGTTACTGCACTTTTTCGAAGGGCAATGTGCATTGCTGGTAGCAGACGGGGTTCCGGTGAATCATATTATCAAGAACTTGCACCGGATATTCATCAAGATATTTGTGCATCCTCTTCGACTAAGACAACCACGATCACGACCACAACCACAGCTGCTGCTGCTGCTGTTGTTGTTGCTGCTGCTGCTGCTACGATTGTTTCAACACCTAACACCACCATTCCAAATGTCACTGATATAACTTCAACAACAACAACTGCTACTACTACTACTATTACTACTACTGCTATTAGTACTACTACTACCACCACTACTGTTACCACTACTACTACTACTACTACTACTACTACATCTACGACGCATCGTCATTCTAGACGAAGCTCACCGACGGAGACCACTAGCTTCAAGGTCGACGAGCTCGGTGCCTATGTTAAGGAGGCCGTGCAAGCGCAAGAGGTGAGGACCGATGATGATTATGACCGACACTCTGCCTTCTCTCTTTCTCTCTTTTTTTTTCTTTTTTTTCTACTTCATATGTGTGATGATAATCATGACAGTGAATTTCGTCCGAATAATTTGCGATATTTATTTTCTTTAGCCAATTTTTTTCATTCGTTTCACTGTTATAATTACCAACACTACGTCCCAATTTTCGTTCATTCTCTGATATTTATTTATTATCAACGATTTTTGCATGTATCATCATGTAGTACAATTTTTTAAATGCATAAATGAAAACATTCATTCACTTTTACAATTTAATATCTTTTACAATTTTAATATCAATATACTTGTGTGTGGAATCATTCTCTATTTGATTCTTCTTCTTATATTTTCCTTTCTACTTTGAAAGGAAGATTCAATGACCGTTTAAGACGAGAMCCCGAGCCTCTACTTGACCCTGAAATATTTTTGAGTTGTTTTGCAAACCGGCTTAATGTATTATTGCGTTTATTTAATCAATTTTTAATAAGTTAAGAACTTATTTTTACTCTCTCTCTCTCTCTCTCTTTCTATGAATATTTTTGTTCTTCGTTGATCGCCGTTTCTAATTTAGTTAACGTGGCAACTAAACGAAAGTAGAATAATAATCGATGAATCCTCGTGTCAAGTGATGGTTAAATTTGAATGGAATCAATCGACAAAGTTATACTCGTAAAAAATTTACACACACGCATACATACATACAAATACGCGCATGCGTACACACATGCACACCCAAAGAGAGTAAGAAAAATTGAGTCGATCGAACTAACAGAAACGATTTCATTGTTGATTTCTGGTATCACTCGCAATCGAAATGACGAGGAGATAAGGAAAAAGAGTACATATGGCTTTTTATGGATCCCCTATGACCGTTGTTTCTCCATTCTCTGTGTGTATATCAAATTGTTATGTTAAGAACAGATGGATAAGGGAAAAGAACAAACTAAAGGATACATTTCCACTAACTTTCTTCTTTCTTCCTTCGAGTTGGCCAAACTCGGTCATGTGAGAAGTAAAGAAATAATTAGAAAAAATGAGTTTGTTGGATCTTCGCATATTATCAAATCAAAATTCAAGGTATACGTGCATTTCGTGCATTGCTCAAAGTTATTTCAAACCTTACAATGTATTTTGTCAGTTAAATTAATAATAAGTTTTTTCGATATTATAATATACGTAAAAGTATATGCATACATGTTTTATTGATTTTTGCAAAAAAAAAATAAAAAAAGAAATAAACTCGTATCGATTTACAAATACACTAACATGAAAAACAATTTTCGTTCGTTAATATTTAATCGTAGTTTTATTCGAAGAAAATCCAAATCTTGTCAGTCTCATCCATCCACGTATATCAAATTTAAACGTGTATATATAATATAATAAATCGGGATATTTAGAAAAGCGTTTGGAAAGTTTCCTCTTTCAAAATTGGCACGAACATTTCGAGTAACTCGATATTTATTATTAAACGAACCTTTTTTTTTTTCTCTCTCTCCCTCTCCCCCCTCCCCTCCCCCAACCCGTCGCTCACCCGACCGACCCCTCTTTATTTTTTATTCAACTACGTCAATTTGAAAGTTCAACGTAAAATTCGATGGTCAGAATTTTTGATTAAAATAATAGAAGAAGAAAAAATAATGGAAGTGAATCGAATTGATTTTTTATTCAAAAGTATATACCCACACACTTATACACATACGTACACGCTCCTCGTAGACGACTTTATTATATCAACATAAATAAATATTTTATATGTAAGTACTTCTCATATATACGTGAAAAATATATATTATATATATAGGTATATATCTACTACGTTGGTTTATAAAGTTAAATGTGATTCAACAAAATATCGTATCGTATTATTTTTGTACGAGACACGATTTTGTATTTAAAGAAACGGCCAAGAGAGAGTAACGTAATCGATTCATCGGATGGACGGACAAACGGACGGACGGACCAATGTTGTCGTCGGCATTTTCGAGGACTTATTTTTCTTGACGTGACGTGTTTTGTGGATGTGCCGCATTCTCTTAGGTGGTCTGAGGTGGGCTGGGGTGAAATAAGTTGGGAGAGAATATTGTGGTGTGTGGGGTTGGGGTTGGAATTGGTATGGGTACGACAGTTTCTCTGAAAACCTCGCCAAGATATGTTGAACGGGTTAATCGTTCTTAAACTTTCAAAATATCTTCAGAAAATTCCTACGTGCACTGAAATCCGAATATGACATTTTCTTTTTTTTTTTTTTTTCTGATTTTCCTTACGATCGATACACTCGTCCTGTTATTACAAAAAGATGAAGATGAATATGAAGAAGTAACAAACAAACAAACAAAAGTGGAAATAAAAGATAAGGAAGACGGAAATGCGAGTGAAAGATTTATTATTATTATAAGATTTATGGATAGCTAGATAGAGATATTGATCGGAATACGAAAGAAGAAGCCTCCAGTACCCGAAATGAATAGGACAATCGTAACTGTTAGGTGGAGAAAGGACTCTCTTCATATAATAGAATAATAATTTTGATCACGATTGGGGGGAAAGATGCCCGTATTTCGAATAAACAATTTTAATACAAATTTACAACAAAATTATACGACTACGAGAAATGAATAAGATCATTGTAATATAATAACAGTAACAAATGTGATGTAAAAAAGAAAAAATGGTTATCAGTTGTCTTACGTTTGTTAATAAGTTGGACTATCACACATCAGTCAACCCCGTGACACGTTATATTTATTCATTTATTATACTATTTATTACTGTATTTTATATTTGATATATCTAATAATCTTATTGTTAGAGACAATTGTGAGTAATAAAAGGTAAAACAGGGTAAAACTTACACGACGGTCAAATTGTTAAACCAACGTTCGAGTTGATCGATTTTAACTGATACGTATACAGTAGGACTTTGATTTATTCGTATCATTTGTTTCCTGATCACGTTGGTTAATCCAGGTTTTAACTGTACTATAATATTGTACGAAGAATGTACTACTGTTTATCGACTATTTGTTTCGATAGTAGATGACACGAACAGGAAAGTGTATACACAGTGTTCGGAGCATCTCGATAATGGAGTATGCGAATAGTAGAACATTGGAATAAGTAGATCGTCGGATACTGAAGGTTCCACTGTAATTTATTCAACAGAATTAAAATAGGGAAGTGTATGCAGTGTTCGGATAATGGAACATCTCGATAGTAGAGCAACCACGCGAATAGTAGAACGTTCAAATACCAGATCGTCGGATATTGAAAATTCCAACTTGTATTTGTATATTTCTAAGATAATTGTATCCTTATTTTTACTCTCCCATTTTTACGGGTTCGAGTCATTTATCCAATACTACTTAAAGAAAGTTGCATATATATTTTTTCTTTCCCTTTTTATATCTCCAAGAGAGTGTTTTTATTGTTTTTCGAACGAATGGGTCACCTCCCCCTCCCCTATTCATTTTATTTAACCATGGCCCCAAACTTGCTTGACTCTAGTGATCCATTAAAAAGAAAACTAATAATCTAACGCGATTAGGCCGTTGACTATTTCTCAGATAATCATAAATATACCATAACAACTCAGACAGAAATCCTTGTGTGTTAATAATTATTTAAGAACGTTTTATGTTATCGTAAAAAATCGTCTACTTAGCGAGGAGACTATAAATGTATACGCAATTAGCAGGATGATTAAGGGGAGTGTTAACAAAGATGCGAGAGAGTGAGAAAGAAAGATAGAAAAAAAAAGAAAAAAGAAAGAGAGAGAGAGAGAGAGAGAGAGAGAGAGAAAATTTATTGCATCGAAGCATCGAAAGATACATAAACGTGGAGAGACGTATTAAAGAAGGTTGGTGTTCAAGGGGCTGAGGTGGGGTAAGGGAGGTATGTTCTGACAGGTGAATAGATTTACAACGCAATTAAGAATCGATCGGACATTGTCGCCGACTTTCATTCGAGCATTCGTTCGTTCGTTCTATCCACACACACACACACACATAGGTAGACATACAGGACAATATAAATGAGTATACCTAATGCATACATACGTGCACATATATACTTATATATATAGTAACACATTTACACGATGATCGTACTCCTCGATGAGACATAAACGGTGTGATAAGAGCTTCCCCATTGCCGGTTACGAGCTAACAAAGTTCGAAAGTCTTCGAACGCGATCGCATATATACATATGCGTTTATGTGTGTGTGTGTGTGTGTGTGTGTATGTTGTATGTTATATGCAGTTTACTCTACTCGTTCGTTATCGTTCGTACGCGTATTCGACTATTATCGGTAACCGAATGAACGTCCAATGTGTGTTCGTCAACAACGTTCGTCAAAGTAGTTTTCATTTTAACAAAATTTTCTTTTTCTTTTTTTATTCGTGTTTTTTCCCTGCCTCTACCACTCCCTCCCCACCCCATTTTCAATACTTTTAAGGTTTATTACGTACTATGGAATTGAGAAAAAAATATTGGATGGAATTTTTTTTTTCGCGAGAGAGGATCGCGTATGCGTAGCTTGAAAGAAAATTGATAGAATCTTTTTTCTCTTTTTATTTTTATTTTTATGATTGATCCAAATAGGAATGCATTTATTTTTCATTCGAATATATATCGTTATATTTTGTTGGGAGATTTAAAAGAAAAAAACAAGAAAAAAAAAAAAAGGAAAAGAAAAAATATCGGAAAACGATATGGCCGTTGGATGAATTCGTTCGATTTCTTTTTTTTTTTTTTTTTTTATTGATCGTTCCCGACCAATAAAAAATCCTTCGAAAATTCGACTTCTTTTTTTTTTTTTTTGTTTTTCTTTTCATGAAAGGGGTTTGTTACGATTTTACTCGTTCATTTTATTTTCTCTTACATTTCTTTCTTTCTTTTTTCATGAGTCAGTCCCTTTTGGAAAATCATATTCATCCGGTATCATTAGCCTTGACCTCGTTATAACATT